AAAACAAACTCATCTTGCTTATATTGGAGTGGCGCTAAGAGAACAAGACAGGACTTGGGCTCCCCATGTGGTTTGCAAAACCTGTGTAGAATGCTTTCGACAGCAGAAAAATAAGCAAAGGAAAAGATTGAACCTCGATGTGTTTATGGTGTGGAAAGATTCGATAAACCACCACGATGACTGTTATTTCTGTATGGTGAATGTGGAAGGTTTCACTCGATACAAGAAAGTCAAGAAGGAATATCCTGATTTGTAGTCAGCAAGGAGACCTGTGACACACAGTGAAGACGTTACCATACCAGTGTTTACAACACTGCCTGACCTGCCGTTGTCAGATAATGAAGAAACTCAGGGTTTAGGAGGTAACACAGGTGATAGCAGTGGATGTGAATATGAAGTAAGCTTTCAACATCCCAGCTCTCCCAAGAACAACTCGATGATCTAATACATGACCAGTCTGTCAAAGCAAGCATCTGAACTTTCAGCATCCAGACTAAAAGAAAAGAACTTTCTACAACAAGACATTAAAATAACAGCTTACTGGACAAGAGAAGTTGAACTCCTTCCTTACTTCAGCCAAGATGAAGAAATTGTACACTGCAATAACATCCCTGGACTTCTTCTTGGACTGGGACTCGAATATCGACCATGAGATTGGCGGCTGTTTATAGACAGCTTCATTAGAAGCTTGAAATGTATCTTATTGCACACTAGTAATCAATATACATCTCTTCCAACTGCTCACTCAACAAAACTGTGCTGATGACCAACATAGAAGAAAATCGTAATTTGTGGTTTGTGAATTATCTTACTATGTTAATCTGTTATTATATAGAATGAAGTGCTATAATATACATTATATGATTTGACTTTTGCATGGTATTCAAAATAATTTCAATGTAATTTGTAAGTTACCCCGGCCTGATTAATATATTTTTCACATCTTTTAAGTTTTCCAATGAGATACCAAATTTATGAAAAAAACTAGAGTCAAACAGCACCACAAACTTACCTGAAAAACAATATAATATCATTACACAAATAACCCGCACATAAAAGAGAGAAGCTTACGACGACGTTTCGGTCCGGGAAGTGTCCAGAAAATGCGCAAAGAGAAGCATCCATTCTGACTAAGTTGAATGCGTTGGCAAAGTCCAGTCTGATCAAGGCTTTTACATGACATGTTATCGATGTATACTTGTGCTGCTGGACAGCTGCTTCACAGCCTGGTTGAACACCAAATCCGAGTTGTGTTGGTTTCAACACTGTGGCATCCTCTTGATTCACTATTCTCATTGCAGCCTTGGTGACAAGGTGCCAGAGTGTTGCCCACTGTAGTGGGCTTGGTTCCTCCATTCTTTTTCCGGAGGACACATAGTGAGGCACCAAAGAAGAGTAGCCTGGGACACTGCCAGCCAGGAACACATTGGAAAATTGGAAAATTAGGTAAATTCGGACAGCAACTTCTGAAACATCATCATGTTGTGGTCTTAAACTGGAGAAACGCCTTGCTAAGCCCAGTGTAAATGACAGCGGATTTATACACATCAACATCCCTTATGTTAAATGTTCTTCACCTGATGCAATGTCAGAGACGTCAATGTTAGTACTGGGAGTCCTGGGTGGATGTTTGTCCTTCAGAGTTTGTGCTGTAATGGTGTCCTTAGGGGCGATGGTACCCTTACTGGTTAGAACCCTCAGTGCTATTCTAGCATTTCCTTTTTCTATTTTTTTGTTTATATATATATACATATATATAATATATATATATATATATATATATATATATATATATATATATATATATATATATATATATATATATATATATATATATATATATATATATGTGTGTGTGTGTGTGTGTGTGTGTGTGTGTGTGTAAAATCAGACAGATCAAGTTAACAGAAGTCAAAACACAACTGCAAACGACACGCCAAATTATCTGCAGACATGTCAGCCTTCTAGCAGACATGTCAGCCTTCTAGCAAACATGTCAGCCTTCCAGCAGACATGTCAGCCTTCTAGCAGACATGTCAGCCTACTAGCAAACATGTCAGCCTTCCAGCAGACATGTCAGCCTTCAAGCAGACATGTCAGCCTTCTAGCAAACATGTCAGCCTTCTAGCAGACATGACAGCCTTCTGGCAGACATGACAGCCTTCCAGCAGACAGGCCAGCCTTCCAGCAGACATGCCAGCATTCGATCAGACATGACAGCCTTCCAGCAGACAGGCCAGCCTTCCAGCAGACACATCAGAATTCCAGCAGACATGTTAGCCTTCCAGCAGACATTCCAGCCTTCCAGCAGACATGCCAGCCTTCCAGCAGACATGTCAACCTTCCAGAAGACATGTCAGCCTATCTGCAAATATGTCAGCCTTCTAGCAGACATGTCAGCCTTCTAGCAGACATGACAGCCTTCTAGCAGACATGACAGCCTTACAGCAGACAGGCCAGCCTTCCAGCAGACATGTCAGCCTTCTAGCAGACATATCAGCCTTCCAGCAGACATGTCAACCTTCCAGAAGACATGTCAGCCAATCAGCAAATATGTCAGCCTTCTAGCAGACATGTCAGCCTTCTAGCAGACATGTCAGCCTTCCAGCAGACATGTCAGCCTTCAAGCAGACATGTCAGCCTTCTAGCAAACATGTCAGCCTTCTAGCAGACATGACAGCCTTCTGGCAGACATGACAGCCTTCTAGCAGACATGCCAGCATTCGATCAGACATGACAGCCTTCTGGCAGACATGACAGCCTTCTAGCAGACATGCCAGCATTCGATCAGACATGACAGCCTTCCAGCAGACAGGCCAGCCTTCCAGCAGACACATCAGAATTCCAGCAGACATGTTAGCCTTCCAGCAGACATTCCAGCCTTCCAGCAGACATGCCAGCCTTCCAGCAGACATGTCAACCTTCCAGAAGACATGTCAGCCTATCTGCAAATATGTCAGCCTTCTAGCAGACATGTCAGCCTTCTAGCAGACATGACAGCCTTCTAGCAGACATGTCAGCCTTCTAGCAGACATGTCAGACTTCTAGCAGACATGTCAGCCTTCTAGCAGACATGTCAGCCTTCTACAAGACATGACAGCCTTCTAGCAGACACGTCAGCCTTCTAGCAGACATGTCAGCCTTCTAGCAGACATGTCAGCCTTCTAGCAGACATGTCAGACTTCTAGCAAACATGTCAGCCTACTAGCAGACATGTCACCCTTCTAGCAGACATGACAGCCTTCTATCAGACATGTCAGCCTTCTAGCAGACATGTCAGCCTTCCAGAAGACATGTCAGCCTTCTAGCAGACATGTCAGCCTTCTAGCAGACATGTCAGACTTCTAGCAAACATGTCAGCCTACTAGCAGACATGTCACCCTTCTAGCAGACATGACAGCCTTCTATCAGACATGTCAGCCTTCTAGCAGACATGTCAGCCTTCCAGAAGACATGTCAGCCTTCTAGCAGACATGTCAGCCTTCTAGCAGACATGTCAGCCTTCTAGCAGACATGTCAGCCTTCTACAAGACATGACAGCCTTCTGGCAGACACGTCAGCCTTCAAGTAGACATGTCAGCCTTCTAGCAGACATGTCAGCCTTCTAGCAGACATGACAGCCTTCCAGCAGATATGACAGCCTTCCAGCAGACAGGCTAGCCTTCCAGCAGACACGTCAGCCTTCCAGCAGGGAGACCAGCCTTCCAGCAGACATGCCAGCATTCCAGCAGGCAGACCAGCCTTCCAGCAGACATGTCAGCCTTCCAGCAGACATGCCAGCCTTTCAGCAGACATGCCAGCATTCCAGCAGACATGACAGCCTTCCAACAGACATGTCAGCCTTCCAACAGACATGTCAGCCTTCCAGCAGACATGGCAGCCTGCCAGCAGACAGGCCAGTCTACTAGCAGACAGGCCAGTCATCCAGCAGACATGCTAGCCTTCCAGAAGACATGTCAGCCTTCCAGCAGACATGCCAGCCTTCCAGTAGACATACCAGCCTTCCAGCATACATCTCAGCCTTCCAGCAGTCATGCCAGCAGTCATGTCAGCCTTCCAGCAGACAGGCCAGCCTCCCAGCAGACAGGCCAGGCTCCCAGCAGACAGGCCAGCCTCTCAGCAGACAGGCCAGCCTCCCAGCAGACAGGCCAGCCTCCCAGCAGACAGGCCAGCCTCCCAGCAGACAGGCCAGCCTTCCAGCAGACAGGCCAGCCTCCCAGCAGACAGGCCAGCCTGCCAGCAGACAGGCCAGCCTGCCAGCATACAGGCCAGCCTGCCAGCAGACAGGCCAGCCTGCCAGCAGACAGGCCAGCCTCCCAGCAGACAGGCCAGCCTCTCAGCAGACAGGCCAGCCTCTCAGCAGACAGGCCAGCCTCCCAGCAGACAGGCCAGCCTCCCAGCAGACAGGCCAGCCTCCCAGCAGACAGGCCAGCCTCTCAGCAGACAGGCCAGCCTCCCAGCAGACAGGCCAGCCTCTCAGCAGACAGGCCAGCCTCCCAGCAGACAGGCCAGCCTTCCAGCAGACAGGCCAGCCTGCCAGCAGACAGGCCAGCCTCCCAGCAGACAGGCCAGCCTCCCAGCAGACAGGCCAGCCTCCCAGCAGACAGGCCAGCCTCTCAGCAGACAGGCCAGCCTGCCAGCAGACAGGCCAGCCTGCCAGCAGACAGGCCAGCCTCCCAGCAGACAGGCCAGCCTCTCAGCAGACAGGCCAGCCTCCCAGCAGACAGGCCAGCCTTCCAGCAGACAGGCCAGCCTCCCAGCAGACAGGCCAGCCTGCCAGCAGACAGGCCAGCCTCCCAGCAGACAGGCCAGCCTGCCAGCAGACAGGCCAGCCTCCCAGCAGACAGGCCAGCCTCCCAGCAGACAGGCCAGCCTGCCAGCAGACAGGCCAGCCTGCCAGCAGACAGGCCAGCCTGCCAGCAGACAGGCCAGCATACACTTCAGGATTCACCAGCTGATGGAGGAAGGAGTGGCAGTGAAAAACGCAAATTTACAACACCTAAAGTAATGAATATTTATTGTGTAACTGGAAATGATTACATCAGCATTATTTAGATAGTTGTAATTCAGATTCTCGTTTACAAATACCAACATTAGTTTTCCAAAGAGCATCATGAAGCAATACAAAATTCTAGAAATCATGAAACAATCAAGTGTTGTATTATACAAGTCTGCAGAAATGGACAAAATACCATGTAAATTTTAACAATAAATTCTGGACATTTATACATTGTAGTTATAAGTACATCAGTAAATTCTCCACTTCTCAAGTAAGCAGTTTTGGGAATTGGGAAATTTGATGATAAAAAATATTCCTTCAGAAAATAAAACCATATTTGTCCTGAAGAAATATTCAGGTGAAAATACTAGGCGGTGTATAATGTATGATAGAGGAGTGTGCGCTAGGAGAGTGCTTTTTGTAGAGGCAATGAATAACGATCAAATTGTCGTAATAAATCAGTCTTTTAAGCCTAACTCGCTGCTATTTGAACTCTGTAACCTGCTGTCTCACCCTTTCCTGTGTGAGCTGGAAATAAGCTGTCTCTACTCTTAACTCAAGCTTCTATACTCACAAAGCAAAGAGAGAACTACAGCCAAAATATCCTCTGTATTGTGTTTAAGTTTACCAGAATATATTTTGCAATACAACGTTAAAGATACCTAATACACCTTGACAGTTCCAGCCGAAGTGTTTCTTTGCACCTCACTTAGGTTATAAACAACCTTCACTCACTTTGTTTACATCTTAGTCAAGAACCCTGTAGCATCTTAGATTTCCACTGAATCATGTTTTCTTTGTTCAATATCTGATCTTTCCGGCTTTGCAATAAACACTAAATATATAGGAAAATGAAGGTCAGTAGAAGCTTTGATAAAATACATTGGCATCCTATGATTTATCTATATTAAGCAAATTTATAAACGACTTGGAAAGTATTCTTCACATTCAGGGAAGATGGCAGACTTGGTAGCAACACCATTAAGCGTTACTGCCAGCTGGCCAACCTTCTATCATCTCTGATCTTTAGAACCTACGTTTGGTGTGAATATTTTTGTTCTATACCATTCCACATGCTTAAGTACACAGGTTCACACTAACCATACCACGGGTGGGGTTAGAACCCGCAATCAGAGAGTCACAAAACTCTAGACAGACGCGGGTTCTAACCCCACCCGTGGTAGGGTTTATTTGCAATCGTGTCATTACGATTTCGTGAGTCAGGTTCACACTGTGATGCTTTCTACGTTAACAGTCACTGCTAATCCACCTGGGAGGACCCACAGTGCAGTATACACATGGGTTCTGGAGAAACCAACCTGCCAAATAGTGCCAATGGATCCTATGCATTGAAATAATGAAGTCAAACTGTGCAAAAACCTCTATAGAAGGTATTTTCTGTCACATATTTGCATAAGTTTTAAAAGGTGTAGTGCAGTCAGCTCATGTCAGTGTTCTCACATTAAGGAGTCATGTCTTAAACTTCATAAATGACATTTTATAAGAAAGGTGCAAATAGGATTGACTTGAATTTACATCAGTTACAAAATTACATAAAACTTCTTCATAATATTGTACCACTAGAAAGGTTTTTCCATTAAACTTCCGAATAAACTTCAATTTTCACTCTGCAATGACTCGTGTCGCAATACCATCTTCACCAATAAAAAAAAATATTGGCAAAATGCGTACAATGAAGCTCTGTACACTGTACACTGACAGTGGTAGACCTTATTACATTATCTTATTACATTATCTTATTACATTATCTTATTACATTATCTTAATACTGCAATTGAAAACTTTCAGTGTTCGTTTTTTTTAACAGAAGAGTGCATATAAACAGGCAATGTTTTTCTTACAGTGTGAGCTCCTTTATTGAACCCTAGGGAAGGTTTCTGTTACAATTCTGGAATTGTCCAACCACTTAGGTTAGTTCAGAAAGCAGGGAGATATATACACGTAATATGTATGATGGAAATACATAGATAGGCCTTGGAACATTATACTTTTTCATATTTTTTATATTTTCTAAAATCAAGTTTAGGTCAAATTTATTATATACAAGATTGGCGTTTATAATACGTCTGAATGTTGGCTAAAAGTGTACATAATTTACGTAATTTCGTTAAATTAGTGCTTAATTCATTTAATTTTGTTATATTTACTTGTACTTTTACAAGGAATTCAGTCTTTGTGCACTAAGACTTTTCTTCCAAACATTCATCTTAAATTTTATTCTTTTCACCGCTTAAGATTATCTTAAGATTATCTTTGCATCACTGTTGATGACACACGCGTTTGACAACTTGAAGAACACAGTCAACTTTCTTGCCATGGGAGACACAGCTGCATACTGCTCAAGGCTTTCTATATAGTATGCCAATATCACTTAGCTCTGTATAGGATGCAGAAATAGAGATTTTTACTGTTAAGGCAACACAGAGTGTTAAGCAGAAACTCGCATCGTTGCCTGAACGTTGAGAACTGTATTAAATTCTATTTTATTTTTGTCAGTGACTCGTTTACTGCATTTTAGAACAAAACATGTACTGGTACTGGTAGCATTTATGAAATTCTATGTGATGGAGCTTAAGTATCAGTGTTGGCAACTTAGCCAAAGTAACTATGTAAGCTGTAACGAAGTGGCAAATATAGTTAGCAACATCACTTCCAAGCTGTGGCCATCTGGTGAGTGTTATCTGTAACATCCACTCTGCAGTATCTCTGAATTCGGTCTTTATATATACATCAACATCCTTCCCCAATTGGTAACTCAATTTTTTTATCTTAGCCTCTTTCTGTTGTGCATTTTTCTTGATTTCTGTGTATGCTTGTTAAGTCAGCCGTCTTGCATACGAATTCAAGCAGACTGTCAGTATTTTACTGACGTGACGCTGAAATCTAGTGCCCGAGTTCTGTGGGAAGTTTTCTCAGGTCTTGAAGTTCAATGTGTCGTCCAGACATCGCTGAGGAAGCAGCAGCAGTGATTCTTTCAACATTTTGCATTCTTCGTTTCACATTTATCATGTATATTAGGTATCCCTCTGTGTTTAAAAACAATAATTATTATACATTTTTATCTTCATACAAAATCTGTGGTCTTTATTGGGCCATCATTTGCGATTTCATTTAACATGCGTAGGAATACTTAAAATATATTATATATACAGAGAGATAACAGACAAATCGTGATTACACTAAACTTTCCCTACAAATCAAATCATTGAGTTACATTATGGTAAAAGGTATTGAAATAACTATTTTTAGCATGATGGGTCGAGGAGACGCTCTAGATCAAAAGAATAAAGTGTTTCAACATTTGTTCATTCGGGTAAAGTTCCCCCTTCAATGGCAGGATGAAGCAGGAAGAGTCAGCGGAAAGGGAGGATAAGTGGTGGGTAGGAGATAGCCGAGGGAGAGTTAGGGGACTGGAGTGAGAGAGAAAGTAGAGGAACAATGAGGTGTGGAAGGTGGGGATGGAAGAATAGAAGTGGCCCTGCGTCTCTCTACTTAATGAGAGGCAGCTCCTGGTTGTCACAGACATCCATGTTGTAGTAGACAGCGTCGGAGTTCGAATTAGACGTCATGGGCATGGCTGCTCCGTCAGCCTCAGCCTCCAGCCGCAGGGCGCCCATCCGGTCGCCACGTCTGGTAAACATAAGTACAATTATCATACGTGTCTGGTACAATAATCAAACATGTCTGGTACACATGAGTGCAATTATCATACATATTCTAAGTTAAGCAATAAAATCACAGTTAACAGGTGACATCACAATATGCAGAACAACCAATCTGATAAAAACAGTGAAATTCCAAGCGATTTTCACAGTTCCTTGAATAAGTGAGAAATCACAAAATCGCTTGGAATTTTACTGTTTTTTTTGTCACAGTGGTTATTCTGCATAGTCTAACATATGTGTAAACTACCTACGATAACTAAAAAAAATAAAGTGACATATTTCGAGGGGTAAGATCTTGATTCAAGACCTATTGAATACATAGAGGATATCTAGGAAATATGTATGCGCTAGTGTATTCTAGGATCCCAGTCTCCGAGATATTTAGGGAATATTTCTTCGGTTTTGCTTCTAAGCTGCGTTTACTTGACTCACGAAATCGTTATGACACGATTGCAAACAAACCATACGACGGATGGGGTTAGAACCTGTGATCAGAGAGTATCAAAACTCCAGACCGCGTCGGTCTGGAGTTTTGAGACTCTGATCGCGCGTTCTAACCCACCCGTGGTATGTTTTTTTCTGTTTTTATTTGTAAGATTCGAATTAGTTATTGGATGTGTGTGTCCTAATGTGCCATTATTATTGAAGACATTGAATGTAAGTGTCAATGTGACAACTTGCAAATACCTCTGCTGATTCCTTTCAAATATTTAACTAAACGCGAAACTTACGCTACTCGCGCACTCTTCCTCGCGCGAGCATTGAGGTACATGGGGCTGGGGTTATGCAAAACAGGGATCCCTCTTTCAGATCGCGCTGCGAGCGATGAACATTATCTGTTGGTCATTCTGTTGGCACACCCAGGTACCTATTTAATATTAGGTGTAAGAAGGCTTTCGCATGCGTCTAGGTGAGGAAACTGGGGCACCAGTGTACTGGTAGGTGAGACACCTGGAACACCAGTGTACTGGTAGGTGAGACACCTGGAGCACCAGTGTACTGGTAGGTGAGACACCTTGAGCAGCAGTGTACTGGTAGGTGAGACACCTGGAGCAGCAGTGTACTGGAAGGTGAGACACCTGGATCAGCAGTGTACTGGTAGGTGAGACACCTAGAGCAGCAGTGTACTGGTAGGTGAGACACCTGGAGCAGCAGTGTACTGGAAGGTGAGACACCTGGATCAGCAGTGTACTGGTAGGTGAGACACCTAGAGCAGCAGTGTACTGGTAGGTGAGACACCTGGAACAGCAGTGTACTGGTAGGTGAGACACCTGGAGCAGCAGTGTACTGGTAGGTGAGACACCTAGAGCAGCAGTGTACTGGTAGGTAAGACACCTGGAGCAGCAGTGTACTGGTAGGTGAGACACCTGGAGCAGCAGTGTACTGGTAGGTGAGACACCTGCAGCAGCAGTGTACTGGTAGGTGAGACACCTGGAGCAGCAGTGTACTGGTAGGTGAGACACCTGGAACACCAGTGTACTGGTAGGTGAGACACCTGGAACACCAGTGTACTGGTAGGTGAGACACCTGGAGCAGCAGTGTACTGGTAGGTGAGACACCTGGAACACCAGTGTACTGGTAGGTGAGACACCTGGAGCAGCAGTGTACTGGTAGGTGAGACATCTGGAGCAGCAGTGTACTGGTAGGTGAGACACCTGGATCAGCCGTGTACTGGTAGGTGAGACACCTGGAGCAGCAGTGTACTGGTAGGTGAGACACCTTGAGCACCAGTGTACTGGTAGGTGAGACACCTGGAGCAGCAGTGTACTGGTAGGTGAGACACCTGGATCAGCAGTGTACTGGTAGGTGAGACACCTAGAGCAGCAGTGTACTGGTAGGTGAGACACCTGGAGCAGCAGTGTACTGGAAGGTGAGACACCTGGATCAGCAGTGTACTGGTAGGTGAGACACCTAGAGCAGCAGTGTACTGGTAGGTGAGACACCTGGAACAGCAGTGTACTGGTAGGTGAGACACCTAGAGCAGCAGTGTACTGGTAGGTGAGACACCTGGAGCAGCAGTGTACTGGTAGGTGAGACACCTAGAGCAGCAGTGTACTGGTAGGTGAGACACCTGGAGCAGCAGTGTACTGGTAGGTGAGACACCTGGAGCAGCAGTGTACTGGTAGGTGAGACACCTGGAGCAGCAGTGTACTGGTAGGTGAGACACCTGGAACACCAGTGTACTGGTAGGTGAGACACCTGAAGCAGCAGTGTACTTCTAGGTGAGACACCTGGAACACCAGTGTACTGGTAGGTGAGACACCTGGAGCAGCAGTGTACTGGTAGGTGAGACACCTGGATCAGCAGTGTACTGGTAGGTGAGACAACGGGATCAGCAGTGTACTGGTAGGTGAGACACCTGGATCAGCAGTGTACTGGTAGGTGAGACACCTGGAGCAGCAGTGTACTGGTAGGTGAGACACCTGGAGCAGCAGTGTACTGGTAGGTGAGACACCTGGAGCAGCAGTGTACTGGTAGGTGAGACACCTGGATCAGCAGTGTACTGGTAGGTGAGACACCTGGAGCAGCAGTGTACTGGTAGGTGAGACACCTGGAGCAGCAGTGTGCCTCACCTACCAGGAAATCGAACCCAAGTCCTCTCGATTGAGAACCGAGCAGGAAACTCTTGACCAGGAGTGGATAATTTTGAAGAATTATTTTAAACAGAATAGTGCGCAAAACCCATATGTGTCATACAGCGCTTCGGGAAAGTGACGCATTCTAGCTCGATCCAGGGAAATAGAGGATAAGTCCATTTCCTTGGATCAAGAGCTCTCACTGGCATCTAGGTAACTCCCATGAAGTGTAGTGGAAGGAAAGCTGGGGATGGAGGAAGCTGGGTGATGGAGGAAATTGGGGGATGGAGGAAGCTGAGGGAGGGAGGAAGCTGGTGATGGAAGAAGCTGGGGATGGAGGAAGCTGGGGATGGAGGAAGCTGGGGATGGAGGAAGCTGAGGATGGAGGAAGCTGGAGATGGAGGAAGCTAGGGATGGAGGAAGCTGGGGATTGAGGAAGCTGGGGATGGAGGAAGCTGGGGATGGAGGAAGCTGGGTGATGGAGGAAATTGGGGGATGGAGGAAGCTGAGGGAGGGAGGAAGCTGGTGATGGAAGAAGCTGGGGATGGAGGAAGCTGGGGATGGAGGAAGCTGGGGATGGAGGAAGCTGAGGATGGAGGAAGCTGGAGATGGAGGAAGCTAGGGACGGAGGAAGCTGGTGATTGAGGAAGCTGGGGATGGAGGAAGCTGGGGATGGAGGAAGCTGGGGATGGAGGAAGCTGGGGATGGAGGAAGCTGGGGATGGAGGAAGCTGGGGATGGAGGAAGCTGGGGATGGAGGAAGCTGAGGGAGGGAGGAAGCTGGGGATGGAAGAAGCTGGGGATGGAGGAAGCTGAGGGAGGGAGGAAGCTGAGGGATGGAGGAAACTGGGGATGGAGGAAGCTGGGGATGGAGGAAGCTGGGGATGGAGGAAGCTGGGGATGGAGGAAGCTGGGGATGGAGGAAGCTGGGGATGGAGGAAGCTGGGGATGGAGGAAGCTGGGGATGGAGGAAGCTGGGGATGGAGGAAGCTGGGGATGGAGGAAGCTGGGGATGGAGGAAGCTGAGGGAGGGAGGAAGCTGAGGGAGGGAGGAAGCTGAGGGAGGGAAGAAGCTGGGGATGGAGGAAGCCTGGGGATGGAAGAAGCTGGGGATGGAGGAAGCTGGGGATGGAGGAAGCCTGGGATGGAAGAAGCTGGGGATGGAGGAAGCTGGGATGGAGGAAATTGGCGGATGGAGGAAGCTGAGGGAGGGAGGAAGCTGGTGATGGAGGAAGCTGGGGATGGAGGAAGCTGGTGATGGAGGAAACTGGGGGATGGAGGAAGCTGAGGGAGGGAGGAAGCTCGTGATGGAGGTAGCTGGGGATGGTGGAAGCTGGGGATGGAGGAAGCTGGGGATGGAGGAAGCTGGGGATGGAGGAAGCTGAGGGAGGGAGGAAGCTGGGGATGGAGGAAGCTGGGAATGGAGGAAGCTGGGGATGGAGGAAGCTCATGATGGAGGAAGCTGGGGATGGAGGAAGCTGGGGATGGAGGAAGCTGATTGAGGAGGAAGCTGGGGGTGGAGGAAGCTGGGGATGGAGGAAGATGGGATGGAGGAAGCTGAGGGAGGGAGGAAGCTGGGGATGGAGGAAGCTGGGGATGGAGGAAGCTGGTGATGGAGGAAGCTGGAGATGGAGAAAGCTGGGGATGGAGGAAGCTGGGGATAGAGGAAGCTGGGGATGGTGGAAGCTGAGGGAGGGAGGAAGCTGGGGATGGTGGAAGCTGAGGGAGGGAGGAAGCTGGGGATGGAGGAAGCTGGAAATGGAGAAAGCTAGGTGATGGAGGAAGCTGGGGATGGAGGAAGCTGGGGTGGAGGAAGCTGGGGAATGAAGGAAGCTGGGGATGGAGGAAGCTGGGATGGAGGAAGCTGGGATGGAGGAAGCTGGTGATGGAGGAAGCTGGGGATGGAGGAAGCTGGGGATAGAGGAAGCTGGGGATGGTGGAAGCTGAGGGAGGGAGGAAGCTGGGGATGGTGGAAGCTGAGGGAGGGAGGAAGCTGGGGATGGAGGAAGCTGGAAATGGAGAAAGCTAGGTGATGGAGGAAGCTGGGGATGGAGGAAGCTGGGGTGGAGGAAGCTGGGAATGGAGGAAGCTGGGGATGGAGGAAGCTGGGGATGGAGGAAGCTGGGGATGGAGGAAGCTGGGGTGGAGGAAGCTGGGAATGGAGGAAGCTGGGGATGGAGGAAGCTGGGGTGGAGGAAGCTGGGAATGGGGGAAGCTGGGATGGAGGAAGCTGGGATGGAGGAAGCTGGGGATGGAGGAAGCTGGGGATGGAGGAAGCTGGGTGGAGGAAGCTGGGGAAAGGAGGAAGCTGGGGATGGAGGAAGCTGGGGATGGAGGAAGCTGGGGATGGAGGAAGCTGGGGATGGAGGAAGCTGGGGATGGAGGAAGCT